AAAGGAGAGATCCCATCCCATGGGATCAGAGCAAATCCCACAAGGAGAGATCTCATGGGATTGGCTCGGGGGCCCGCAGGGCACGTGTTCCCAAGGAATTCTGAGTTTGTATTCCCGGGAATTCTGAGCCTGTGTTCTGGGAATTCTGAGCCTGTGCTCCCATGGAATTCTGAGTTTGTATTCCCGGGAATTCCGAGCCTCAGTTCCCGGGGAGAGCCGGCCATGCGGGGAGGGTCCGGGCAGCGGTCAGAGCTCAGAGCCTGCCGGGATGTTCGGATCCTTCCTTTCCCAGAGCAAACCTCGCCCCGGCAGAAAGGATCCATCAAAATCACGGCGGATTTTCAGGGTATTTTAAGAAAATGGTTCCATGAAGTTCCTGCTGCATTTGCGTTTAAAAAGGGAGGTATTTTTGGAAGTTATTCCTTTCCCGTTTCAAAATCTATGTAAATCCTGTCAGATAGTCCCAGTTCCCAATTAGCAGCAATGCAGCAGCCGAGGGAAAAACGAATTAAAGCTGTTTGAAAAAGCACCTCAGCCGAAAACATCCCAGGGAAAGGCGAGATCGTGATCAAGGACAGAATAAAATCAATGGATCCATCCCTTAGCCCGTGGTCATTTCCCTCCCCAGGGCTGTTTGGAATTCCAGCCATCCCAAACGCTCCTGGAATCGGGATTGGCTTTTAAGGGATGGCACGGAGGTGTTGGATCCCATCTCCCTGTGGGATTCCTGGGATTTTCCAGCCCTGGCTTGCTGGGACACTGCCCAGAGCTCCCCCGAAGCTTTGTGGGGTGACAGCCACTGGCTCCAGTCCCTCTGGAGTGGGGATGCCGTGTCAGGATCCTCCTCCAGGGGATCCAGCCAGTCCCAGGGGATGTTTGGAAAACAAATCCCTGCAGGGCTCTGTCCGGCCCAGCTCTGCCATTTGGAGCTTCGGGATTTTCTTTTCCTGATTTTTCTTTCCCGGAGCTGCTCCAGGTCCCCAAGGTGCTCCCGGTGGTGACTCTGCACCTCCAGGGGCTGATCCAGGGAATCAGGGACTGCCTTGGCTCGGAAGGATCCCAAAGCCCGTCCAGTCCCACCCCATTCCCCCTTCCCAACTTGCCCAGGTGGCTCCAAGCCCTGTCCAACACTTGGACCCCTCCAGGGATGGGGCAGAACCTTCCCAATTGGAATTTCCTCCCCGTGCTCCGTGGGGAAGTGTGGGGAGAAGCGTTCTCTAAGGCTTTTTGCCTTAATGAAGCTTTATTTATTTCTTTGAATTGGCAGGAATAGTCAGAGCCAGAAGAATCCCCACAGCCCTCAGTAACTCATCCCTCCCCCGAGCCTGACAGAGCCCCCGCTCCTGCCAGCAGCTCCAGGGAGAACTCACAGCTCTTGGAGCTGATCTGAGACAGGAGAGGAATCATTTTGGAATCATTCACCACCAAAAAAAAAAACCAAACCAAAAAAAAAATAAAAAATCTCCGAGGCTTTGGCAGAGGAGCTGAGCTCTGGAGAGGCAGCACAAGAGGCTGCTGCTCCATGGATCTGTCCCAGCTCCCTTCCCAGATGAAAAACACCTCATTCAAAAAATCCACCCCCCTCTAATGAATTGTTCTTGAAGGAGGTTGGTGCTCCTGGCTTGGCACAGCTCTTCCCCTGGAGCTGTCATTTGGCAGAGATGTTTTGTGTGCTAAAGGCTGGAAAGAAGAGACCCCGTGCCAGAAAGGCCCAGGGAGGACAATTTCACCTGGCAGCAGGGGCTGCATCCCTAAAAAATGCATTGGAGGGAGGAACAAAGGAGCAAAGAGCACTGAGGGACCACAGGGGACGGGCCCAGAGCCACCCTGACCATCACATCCCACCCAAATCCAGCGGGGAGCTGGGAAATGCCAGAACAAACCCTCGGGGCAGGGCTGGGGGAAAAAGCCCCGAGTGCTTTGGGGTAACAGTGAGGGATGGCCCAAGGGACAGCTCAGGAACCACAGAACCCCGGGATGGGGTGGGCTGGGAAGGGCCAAAAGCTTCAGCTCATTCCCAGCCTTCCCTGGAGGGTGGGGAGTGAATTCCCAGAGCAGCCCCTGGAGCCCGGGCAGTGCCTGGCAAAGGCTGGGGGGGGGGGGGGGGATGTGGGGGCTCCGAGCCCCCCAACGCCGGGGTGGGAACAGCCCACGGGATGTCAGAGCCTGGCAGGGAGCAGCTGAGTCACCATCCCCACCATCCCCATCCCCATGGCAACCCCGCTTCCCTGGAGACATCCCGGGGATGGGCACGGAGCTGGGCAGGGCTGGCAGTGCCATCAGCAGGGCTGCAAACACCACCGGGGGCCACCAAACCCCGTCCCCAAATGCCACCTCCCTGCGGATTTTAAATCCCTCCAGGGGTGGCGACTCCATCCCTGCCCAGGGCAGCTGTGCCAAGGTTTTACCACCCTTTCCATGATGGAATTTTCCCAATATCCAACCTAAACCTCCCCTGGCCCGGCCTGAGGCTGTTCCCTCCTGTCCTGCTGTCCCCTGGGGGCACAGCCCGACCCTCCCCGGCTGTCCCCTCCTGTCAAGGAGTTGTGCAGAGCCCAAATGTCCCCCCCCGAGCCTCCTTTTTCTCCTCCTGAGCCCCTTCCCAGCTCCCTCAGCCTCTCCTGGTGCTCCAGGACCCTGTCCCAGCCTGGAGCATCCCTGGGGGGTTGTGACCCACATCCCACCCTCAGCCCATCCTCGGGGGATCCCAACAGGGAATGTGGCATCCCCAAACCCTGGGAATGCTCCAGGGCAGCCCCTGCTGCTGGAGCTGACACATCCCAAGGAAAAGTCCCAGCCCAGGGCTGTGGGGAGATCCCAGGGATGTTCAAAGCTCAGGAGAGAAGGAGGAACTGCAATTATTCTCTTTAATCACCTTGGCAGGACAGGGCTGTCCTGCCTCACCCTCAGCACCACAGCAATCCCTGGATTTCCTCTTCCAGACCTTTCCCAACCTCCCTTTCCATGGGCAGGGGGCAGGAGGTGCCTCAGTCCTGGCTCAAATCCCAAATCTGCAGCTCCTGCTCCCCTCAGACTCTTCCTCCTGCTCTTCCTCCCAGAGGGAAGCAGCTCAGCAAGGAGAGAATCCCAAACCCCACTGAACGCTGCCACTGGAACCTGAATTTGGGGATGATTTTCATGATTTGGGATTTT